TAAAATTCAGAATAGAATTTAAAATCCTTCTCCTAACATACAAAGCCCTTAATGACAAGGCTCCATCGTATCTTAAAGACCTCATAGAGCTTCATCACAACAAAGCACTTTGCTCTCAGGTTTACTTGTGGTTCCTAGAGTCCACAGACGCAGAATGGGAGGCAGAGCCTTTAGCTATCAAGCTCCTCTCCTATGGAACCAACTCCCAGTCTCAGTTCGGGAGGCGGACACCCTCTCTACCTTTAAGATTAGACTTAAGATGTTTCTTTTTGATAAAGCTTATAGTTAGGGCTGGATCAGGTGACCCTGAGCCTTCCCTTAGTTATGCTGCTATAGGCCTAGTCTGCTGGGGGGCCCCATGATGCTCTGAGTTTCTCTCCCCTTTCCTCTCTTCTTCTCTCCTCTCCTCTCTCTCCCTATGCTTCTATATGCCACCATTACACATTACTAACTTTGTGTCTCCTCTCTCCCGTAGTGTGTCCTCTCTCTCTCCCTGTACTTTTCTGCAGGTTGCCCTGGCCCTGGAGCTCTACGTCTCTGACGAGCAGTCACCAGCCACATCGACCTGATCAGTGTTTGATTGTTGTGTCTTGTTGCTTTTCTTCTTTTGTCTCTCCTCTATCCACTCACCCCAACCGGTCGAGGCAGAAGGCCACCCACCAAGAGCCGGGGTCTGTCGGAGGTTTCTTCTGTTAAAGGGAGTTTTTCCTCCCCACTGTCGCCAAGTGCTTGCTCAAGGGGGATTTGTTGGGTTTTCCCTATGTAATAATATTGATAACAGTAAGGTCTAGACCTTACTTTGTAAAGTGTCCTGAGATTACTTTTGTTGTGATTTGGCGCTATACAAATAAAATTTGATTTGATTTGATTTGATTTAATTTGAAGAAATCTTTTCAAGGCATTTCTGCAATACTGTGTTCAGAAAAATGGGCTGACAGGTGCAAGATCATGGTGACCATTATCTAATGAGTTCATACTTGAAAGCAAGTGGACACTTTGCCAAATTTGAAGAAATTCCCCCAAGGTGTTCAAGATATTACATTTACAAAAATCGGCATGACGAAGAGACAGACAACAAAGCCCCTGTCCACGGCTGTTGGAGGCATACAATTACATGCATTTTAAGATCAATTTAAGCCTGCACAGATGAGAAGTCCTTAACATGCTCTAAAGAATAAAAATATAAACATTTATAATAACATGACAACTGATTATCTCCATCTGCTGAGGACTGTCATGGCAGAAGGCTTCCCACCAAGAGTCTGTCGGAGGTTTCTTCCGTTAAAGGGAGTTTTCCTCCCCACCGTCGCCAAGTGCTTGCTCAAAAGGGATTTGTTGAGTTTTCCCTCTGTAATAATAGTGATAACAGTAAGGTCTAGACCTTACTTTGTAAAGAGTCCTGAGATGACTTTTGTTGCGATTTTGCACTATACAAATAAAATTTGATTTCATTTGAAGACCCACAGAGCATCCACCCATCCACAAAAGGTGGTGTAATATTAGCAACCTTACTACAAGTTTAAATTTAGATAATCTCATATGTCCAAGAGAGCCAAGCACTTGGTACTGCTGCCATACATGTTTGCTTTCTTGTTTACCTGGTGTTAAGTTGATCAGCCAGTGCGTGACCAGAAAGTTCACTGGCATCATGATGTCCCAGCTCTGAATCAGTCCCTGTTGGCAAAGAGGGTAGACCAGGAATTAGCAGATGCCAGTGAAGTATGCAAATCTCAAAATTATTTGAGCTGATAAGGATGGCAACGTCAAAAAGTCTTATTTCACAGATATTACAGTGCTGGATTTTACAGATGCCTTAACATGAAGGCAGCATTTAAAAGGAAAAATTTCTGTGTTAATTCATCCTGGTGTATAGCTCCTTATTAGGGATGCACATAGGTTTTTTTCCTGACAGCAGATGCTTGTTAATTGGCCATTAACCAACAAGATTAAAATGCTAGGCTATTTAGAATGAATAAGTGTCTGTGGCCCATTCAAAAACGCATTTTCCATAAGGTGTTTTTATTTTTATATGTGCAAATACAGCATAAACAGAACACGCATCACACACATGTGGAACTGTGAACTGAGAAACAGCTTTTTTTGTGTGTTGCTCATTTCAGGCTGCTCACATTACTTTAGGGGCATGTAATATAGTACTAGATGTGGGCCATGAATGTTACCTTCTTTTAAAGTACAGCAGACTCCTCTCATTACCTATATTTCTCTTAAAACTGCAGGTACTGCAAAGACCTTAATGGTGCAAGTAAACCTTAGAACCAGGACTTCTGTACCGTGGTAGGAGAAGTGTAGGACTGAAAAAGATGACAAAGAGTGGGGATGTCACACTTTGTATTTTGTTTGGAATTGATATGATTGATTATTTGGGACCTCTTAAGCTTGAATTTTTGTTGCTTCCTGGGGGAGCGCGGATCTTTGTCACTGGCCCTCCTCCCATCATCTGCTCATCCACTGTCCAGGCAAGACGCATCGCATCTCAAACCCATGGAGGGAGCAGAAAACAGTACAGGCAGCTTGTGAGAAGTGCTGGTACACCAAATAGTAAAAAGCATAAGTACTAGTACCACCTGCCCACTTTGAGCACCGAGATCAAAGAGCCCATGACCTGCTTATTTCCAGCTATTTAATGTTTAATCTTGGGTATCTCTAGATTAGCTTTGCACCCATCACAACTCCAAATAGTCTAATTATTTCAGAACAATAAAACCAGAGAGCCTCATCCTGAAAAATTAGGATAGTTGTGAACGCACACAACTCCTTTTGCTGCTGTTGTGTTGAAATCTATTTCCCCTAACCTGAATCCTAAAATTATCCTGACCACAACCACTGAGGGGGGCACTACATGAAACAGCTCGAAGGGGGAACACTTTGACACAAGACCGTCAGGAAGCCAGGACAACACAAAAAAAGAAAACAAATAAGCTACGTTTCTGACAATATCTCAAATCCTACGCGACATGTTCGAGCCAGAATATGGAAGTGGACGCATGACAAAGCACAATATTCATTTGAATTTCTCCTCCATACATAGGTAAACAGTATAAATTCTGATGAAAAGAGATTTGTAGCACTAAACAAAGCAGGTAATTGAGAAACCCCACATTTTAACTGGCATAATGCAGACATAACTTCTCCAGCCTTACAACAGTTCTCTACAGAAACACATTAACAGGCATGCAACATGTATGGGTTTTTTTTTTTTTTACTTACCGTTTTGTCCCACTGTGTAGTGGAAACTTCAAGGTTGGCAAATCCAACCAGTGACCGCTACATCTTCCCCCACAAATTCCTTGCATTACACGTGACCACATACATTCCCAGAGTATGAAAATCAATTCCAACAGGGTTGGACCGAGAGTAACATCATGGATCGTTAGCATCCTCTCACCAACCTGCAACACATCACATGCGGCAGACACACTGGCCTCAAGCCTCAAGGCATAACAAACAGGCACTGTGCTCAGGGGGAATGCAGCAGCATTGATCAGCTGATTGATCACCACCCCAGGGTGTTTCACTGGTCAGCTGCCTGTAGGTTTCCAGCCGCCCCATTCATGCCATGTAAGACCCAGTAAGGTAAAAACAGTGCATGCAGCAACTTCAAGCCCTGTATTTTTCTCCACATCTGTTAACAATGCAGGCAGCAGGAGGTACAATATATCCACAAAACCATGTGCAGTCAAAAAAATAATCTTGCTTTTAAAATGTCACCCGTGGATGTCAGGCAAGCCCCCATGAATGTGCACAGATAGGAGACTTTCGACAGTTGGAAAAAAAAGTCTTGCCAGTGAGAGTCTGTGAGACTTTTATAAACCAAATTGCTTCTGCATAGAAGTACAACATATGTAACATCTATTTTTTTTAGCCAATTCATTGTTGTAACATTGCTGATAACTCAGAAAAAGCATGCCATGGGCACTTTATCGAAAACATACATTGTAAGTCTCTGAAAACTTCCTCCTCCACTGAGTAATAATCAAAACCCCAAGAGGTTAACAAGAGAACCTCATAGCCTACTGGTTTTTGTTCAGAAACAGCAACATGCTGTGTGGTTATTCTGTTTACCGTCAGACCCGAGGTGGAAAATACCCAGTCCAATGGTACCCATGGGGAAGCCGGTCCAATTTACACCACACTCCCCCATGAGTTGATATATAGGCTCTAGAGACCTACCACAAGATTACATAAAACCATTTTTTAATTGAAAGTATTAATCAGTTGGAACTGTCAGTTAATCAAGAGTGTGCATCCCTGCTCCCTATGCAGTTTTCCAAGATGGCTGTTCCAGGGTGCAGGGCTGAATTTACTTCAGAAACAAGTGTTTGAAGTGATTCATGAAAGGTTGGGTTTACTTGAGACCCACCACAGGTCACCCCACTTTTGTGAGAGAGAATGCTACCAGGATGACGTGTCCGTCCACTAAGTGTGTGTGTGAGATGTGTGTACGCAGTCAGCGACAGAGACGCTCTGTCACACAACCTAAACATGGTTTATACTTATAACACTTGGCTTTCACAATCCAGCCAACGCTGATGCAGCTGTGTGCCGCTTGAAGTCAGAGTGTGCTGCCTTAATCAAAAACACATCTCATGATGACATAACAACACCGGCACAGCCAGAACCTGCTGCGGCTTCCACAGGTACACCATTAATCACATTTGTAGTTACATATTTATTTGTATGTAATTAAATGCTTTATAAATGTCCTGTAATGTTTTATTTTCAGGCAATGACCTGTGGAAGCTTCTTGACAAAGATGCAGAAGAAGACAGAAAATCTCAGAACGCTACTACAGATTTCATTGTGGAGGTTCAGCAATATCTGTCTGCTCCTCCTCTGGACAGATCAAAGGACCCCTTAGGTTACTGGTCGAGGCACAAATCCCTGTACCCACACCTGTTCAACCTGGCCAAACAGTTCCTGGTGACACTAGCATCTTCTGTGCCATGTGAAAAGGTGTTCTCCAAGGCTGGGGAAGTTGTCTCAAAAAAGCGAAATCACCTAAAACCATCCACTGTGGAGACACTATTTTTTTATAAAAATGCCTGAGTCACACAAGCACACCCAGTGTAAACCAAACACAATCAGAACACATAATATATTATATTGTCAGAACATAATTACATCCACAGCCTCATTGAACCCTGTAAATATTTGCTCTGTCCAGTGTGTAATTTGGGATGAATAATTATAAATCCATTTCACATTCTTAAGAGTTCTTGGGGAAGGAGGATTACTTAGGTATTCAACGTTTCATTTCAGATACTTTATGTTACGTGTGAGAGTGGTGTGGACCCCAGTTGCAGACACAGACCAGGAGGAGTAGGAGCCAAAGAAAGTGGTTTAATGAACAAAAACACAGGTAAGGCTGGGTGGCAGGAAGAGGAGGGCCCAGGGAGGAGACCAGGAGGGGCGAGCAGGAGACCAAGGAGGGACCAGGAACCAGAGGATGAGCAGGAGAGCGGGCAACAGAAGAGACACAGGAACCAGAGGACGAACAGAAAAGCCAGCAATAGCAGACGAGCGGGCAAACAGGAGAACACAGGGCAGCGGTGACTAATAGACAGACAAAGGGAGAGATGAGGAGCTGAGGACTTACACACCTAAACATAAAACGACGCAGGTTGCAGATAGAACGGGCACAGCGTAAGCGGAGCTGCAGAGCTGCCAAAACAAGGACTGGTAGAAACGGACGGTACACGGAGATGAACAGACGGTAAGCTCAGGACACAAACGCATAAGGCTAACTGGGTAGCGTAGCGTAGCATAAAGGTAAGGTAATAGTACGGTATGAACCACCAAAGAGGCGGCGGAAGACAGGGTGTATATATACCTGACAGGACCGGGAGACGACAAGCAGCAGGTGGGAGAAATGATGCCTGATTGCAGAGAGATACCGCAAGGGACCGGACCGGGGGATCAGCAGGTGAATAATATGGCGACTAATTGCGGTGACAGAGCAGCGGGGAGAGAACAGGTAAACAGAAACGTAAACATGGGAAGCCACCACGCGACATCACAACACTTTATAAGACAAGGAAGAAAAACAGACACGTAAAATGAAATTAGACTTCAGCTTTATTTAGGTAATTTCCACATTACAACAAAACTCAATGCACACGCAAGGTTGTTATAAAATTGGACTAAAATTTGGGTTTCAAAAATTGCATATAGCCTATGACTATTCTTAACACCATTCAGTGATTGTTTAAATTCACTACATTTCAAAATTTAAGCTGAGCAAGAATCTTAAAAAAAAAAAGTGCGGCTACTTTGATGGTTTTCCAACTGTAGTGATGAATTTATAAGAAGGTGTGAGTAATTAAAAGTTTGTACATAAAAGGCAACAAATTAGGGCTGTACCCAACTAATGATTATGTCATGTCATTCAGCTCTTCAGACTTGCTTCTGCCCAATAGCTCCTTTTCCATTGCATGTTACCAACTCGACTCAGTTCTACTTGCTTTTGATAGTGGGTGCTTGGTTTTCCACTGTAGATGGTCCCTTCTCAGTGTAGTTGGTTGTCATAGCGCCACCGCATTACACAGCCATGACAACATTAGCAACTGACACATTAACAATTGATGACATTAAAGGTATGCTCTTTTTGATTCTTGGTATGTGGCTGTTTCTAGTTAGCACAGTAACTACAGTAA